GTCCTCAATACTCCATTCGGCTCAATGACACATAAACATCTATGGTAAGTATAAGGATTGCTTTTCAGGATTTGCTTTTCCTTATGTAATCATTTGGGTGCTCTCCCAAAACTCTCCAAATTTCACCCCAAAATATGACACCTTGTTTTTTATATGCCTGCACCTGAGTATAATAAAATAATGATCCCAATTTCCCATTATGAAACTCCATTTCATTTTGACAGTTTGATTTCATCACAAAAGTACAAACTGTAAAAATATTTATGAATGCACACACATGCTGGCTGTAGGCTTCTGTCTCCGCTGGGCTGTTGGCTAAATATCTACACATGGCTCTCCATGTGGTCTTGGTCTAGTTTGGCTTCCTCACAGCATGGCATTTAGATTACCAGACTAGGCATCACGAGATGGCAAGGTGGAAGTGCATGACACTTTAATAATCTAGCCACTTGAATGATCTTAGCCATTTGACTAAGCCCTGTTCAGAATGAAGGAAAGGAGACGTAAAACCCACCACTTAGTGTGAGGAACGCTAAGGTCACATTTTAAGCAGAGCATGTGGTGTAGGAAATATTGTTGCAGTCATTCTTTGGGGAATAAAAGCTACTACTTTTAGATATGGAAGAAAGAAGTATGAGGAAGGAACAATGGTGGGGGGGGAATGACACTGACTTTCAGAAGCAGCAGTTGTGGAAGTCCATTGTTCTGTGCTCAGCATCCGTGGTGGGAACTGGTTCCTTCTGTGTGGCTCTTATGTACCGACCAAGATGTCCTTAACATTGCCCTCAGCTTGACTAAACTAGACAGTTTCCTTCCTGATTTTAGGTCCCTGACCTCCCTTCTGTTAGAGCATTTACTTTAGAAAACTTGCAATTGTAAATTCTTCCTCTACCCCTTTGTAATGTAAATCTCTCCATCTCTTGCCAGTTTAACGACCCAGGAATGTTTTCCTCAAGGACCTGGGAGCCGTCCCATTGAAACGTGATCAAGGAAGATAGAATCCTATCTCCTAGTGTTTGTGGGATAGAAACCTAACTTTGATAAGAGCCAATTGGCAAACACACTGACCAACCTCTCCCCTAACATTCTGTAGTATTTTAAAACTAGCTCACCCCAGAGCTTGACAACTCCCCTGCCTTTTGTTTCAATGGAACTGAGTTCATTCTCTGTCCCCATTGTAATAGTCTCGTTCTCTATTGCAAAAGTCTTGAATAAAGTCTTCCTTGATGTTTTTAACATGCATCCATGCTATTTTGTTCTGTAACCTGCCAAAGAGCCATCTGGTAGTGTCACTGCATATTGCTCCTGGCTACCTAGCTGAGGTGGATTCCATTACTGGCCCCAATTCTTCACCCCTTTCTGTATCCAACTTCTCTTTGTAACTCCTCCTGCTATGGGCAGACTTTGTACTTGACTATATGACTTGCTTTGGCCCATAAGTTTAAGTAGACCAAGCCCTGATTTTAGCAAACAGGGGCTTGAAATGTGCTTATGAAGTTGCTATGTCCTCTGTTGTGGTTCTGCCATTACCAAGAATAAAACATACCTGGTTAGTTCACTGGTCCCAAGGGGAGGGACATAAGATGTGTGACACAGAGCTACTCCAGACATCTCAGCCTGATGCAGAGGGGCCGAGCTAACTCACCAACTTAAAATAAATGCCTACTGTTGCATACAGTTGAGGTTTTGTGATTATTTATTAGGCAACACAATTGTGCTAAGAGTTAAAAAACACACTGGGCTTGTAGCTTAAGTTGCTGGTCCTCCTAGAGATTCCAGACCCTGATTTTCTTGAGCACATTCTTTTTTTTTTTTTGCTAGAGTGGGTTCTACTTGCAGTTAAGATCTCTGAGTACTGTAGTGGATAATGTCTAATGTTGGTGAGGACAAGAGCAGATGGGAAACTGTATTCTGCTGATGGAAGGACAGAATGGTTTAGCAATTTCAGAAAGCAATCTGGAAATTTCTTGTGAAATTATGCATATGCCTTGTGAGCCAGCAATTCCATTTCTGAATATTTTTTCCAGGTAATCTTTGTGTGGGTCCATAAGGTCATTAGTCTAGTCTTCTATGAAGGAAAATTGGAGTGAGAAATCTCATATGAAGGGGGATAAAAAAAAACAGGAGAGAGGTCTTGCACAGGCCAATTGTCGTAAGCCTCCACTTTAAAAAAAAAAAAAGGGACAAAAAGCAAAAAGAAGAAAGACAAGTTAAAGGAGGAAATGAAAGAAATAATGAAAAGGAAGGAAGGAAGGAAAACTAATTATATTAAGAGAGTCAGAAGAGCTTTGGCAAAGCCTCTCCAAATAATGTCTTTATGGGGCTCTCTGGAACTTTGCCATCAGACTTAAAGCATTACAGCTCCAAAGGCAAGGCGCTCCCAATCAGGTATTCCTGATGATGCCTATATTTGGATTGGTTCTTGCTCCTGTAAAAACCATTTAAATATGTTAGGGTGTCACAGAAGAGTTGGTACAAGGTTCTTTTCCTTGTGCCTAACTGCATTCAGATTTTGTGCATGGCTTCTGATGTGCTATTGTGCTGTTTGCTTGCTCCAGCCTTCATTTCTGCAGTCTTTGATGTTTCCTGTAATCCTGCATCCGTTCCCTGCACTATCTCTCATTGTTGCTTGAATTTCAGGCTCTGGCCCATTGTCTGGCTCTGACCCTACACATACCCCAGTCGAGTCCATTCTCCTATTTGTTTGCTTGCTCCAGCCTTCATTTCTGCAGTCTTTGATGTTTCCTGTAATCCTGCATCCGTTCCCTGCACTATCTCTCATTGTTGCTTGAATTTCAAGCTCTGGCCCATTGTCTGGCTCTGACCCTACACATACCCCAGTCGAGTCCATTCTCCTATTTTACAGCTCCAGTTTCTGTTAGACCATTACATTGCACACCTGAATGAGGCCCATGCCTTACCTCTGCCTCTTACCCCAGCCCTGACTCACTACTTTCCTACAGTCCTCACCTCATCTCTGCCTGTAGGCCCTTTGTATGGACACAGAAACTATGTCGTTTTTTTTAGCAACTGGAACTTAGAAAACAGTATTCAAGGTATCTTATTTTCCTGAGTGAGTAGATTACCTAAAAATATAATTGTGGTAAAATGATTAACACTCAGTGCCTTTATCTATCTCCAGAAACTACAAATTAATAAATTTATCATAAAAAAGAGAGCACAGATTTGAAGCCAGAGGGACTGGGTTCAAAATCAGACTTTTCTATTTATTAGCTGATAAAGTTATTTAATTTCTCTGTGCCTAGCTAACATGTAGATAATGTAACTTACCTTAGAGGGTCTTTGTGAGGCAAA